GTTTGTATTAGTTTTTACTATTGTAATTAAAATTCTTAATAAAAATTATATTTTAAAAAAACCTGGAACAATGTGGGATGGATGGTCCCGCTACCAGGTGGATTCACAGTTGGGCTGAACAGCTGTAGCCAACATGTGGTCTTTTATGGGTCTGTGTCTGCATGGAGGGAGGTATGCAGTGGGGTACTTTGGGGTTCCCAGTATTCTTCAACATCTTCGTAAATGATCTAGATGAGGGAGTAGAAGGGATGGTAATAAAATTTGTGGATGACATAAAGCTGCAAGGGGATCGCTAACACCCCAGAAGACAGGCTCAGGGCTCCAAAGGATGTTGGCGGTCTTGAACGATGGTCCCTGTCCCACAACGTGTCGTTCAGTGGAGAGAAATGTCAAGTTCTGCACTTAGGCAGGAAAAACCAGATGCGCAGGTACAAGACAGGCGGTTGCTGGCTTACATAGTACTTCCGAGAAGGATCTGGCGGTCTTGTTAAACCAGAGATTCAGCATGAGCCAGCAATGTGCCACTGCTGCCAAAAGAGCCAGTGCAGTTTGGGCTGCATCGACGGGGGGGGAGTGTCAGGACCCCGGGAAGCGGCTGTTCCGCTCTGGTCAGACGCGCCTGGAGCCCCGTGCCCAGTTCTGGCCACCGCCCTGCAGAAAGGACGCGGAGGAACTGGAAGAGTGCCGAGAGGAGCCCCTGGAGGGTGAGGGGCTTGGGGCCAAATCCCACAAAGAGCAGTTGGAGCGCCTGGGTCCGTTTAGCCTAAAGAAGAGAAGGCGCCTGAATGCAGTCTTCCAGGGCAGAGGGGGTAGATTTATTCTGCAAAGCTCCCGAGGGCAGGACAGGAGCCGACCGGTGGAAGCTTTGCAGAGGGAGACCCAGACTTGCAATAAGGAGCCAGTTCCTGAGCATGGCAGCTGTTAAGCAGTGGAACAGCCTGGCCCCTGAGATTGTGGGTGCTCCATCCCTGGAGAGGGCACGCAAGGTTCCTGCCCAGGGCAGGGGCTGGACTAGACAGCCTTAAGGTCTCCTCCCAC